CATGTTGTAACATATGGTGAAACATTTTCTCGTGGAACGTCGCTGGAATTACACCGGAGATAAATCTGACCACAGACATCAGAGACAGAACAAACTTGTCAGGTTTCCTGCTAACCCTCTCAGTACGTTTTTTTTTTTTTTTTTTTTTTTTTTTTTTATGCCAGTCTGGTTTGGGGATTTCTACAATTCCTCTTTGACTGGCTCGTAATCAGTCTGACTACACTGTTCTCTGATATTCTGCCCACGTTTTCCCTTTAGCACAGTTCCTCTTTCTTCCCTCTCCTCTTGAGACCGCCTGGAAATAATTCTGCTTCCTTATTCGTGTACCTGTATTCAATATTTGTGAATAACTCAAATCCTGCTCCTTTTCTTTGCTGCTGAGCTGTGAGCAGGGGTTTTCCGTTGTAAACCCCGTGTACTTTTCTGCAGAATCAATGGTTTTGCTGAGAAAATGAAGGCTCGGTGCTGACGTACAACAGAAACCTATACACAAACACACAATCTCCTTTAAGGACCTGTTTGTAACAATCCCAATTCCTCCTGCAGCTTTTAATCAGGTCCACGATGAAGGCATTTTTTCATGCAGCTGCAATATCCCCTCGAACAGATCCCACAAACAAGCTCTGTTTTACAAATTTCAGTGATTAAACCACTTAGGATTTGAAATCTGCTGTGAACCATGAGGCTTTTGCTAAGCTTTGCTGGCTGATCCTACATACCCTTGTCTGGGCAAAACTCGACCCCCATCCCACAAGAAGGCAATTCCTTCAGATGTGATCCCCTGGACTATGGACAGATCCCGTTAGATCTCTCTCAGAGGCATTAAATATGCCATGTGCAACAGATATTGCCAGACAGGCTCAAGCTTTTCATAGCCACAGCTGGGACACCCCAAAATCACACAGCTGGCATTACTCATGAGGTTTGGATACAGCTGTGAGTTTGAAGCCTTCCAGTTGCAACTCAATTCTGTATTTTTAGGAGCTTATTAGCAACCATGTGGACAAGAAATTTATTTTAAAATGAAGAAATACATGCTGAATCCAGAAGTGAGGCTGACGAAGGTTCAAAATATCCAAAGCATTATTCTGTCCTTCCAGATTAATCCTGTCCAAAGGATTGCAGGGCAAAGAGAACAGGTAATTAAACAGATTCATGAAGAGGAAGAGGAAAAAGAGAGATGAGTTCTACTTTTGAGTTTAAAACTAGTGGGATGCACATGCCCTTTTGGAGCAACAGCCATTTGAATATCCTGAGCAGCTTAATTTTTTGCAATAATCAATTAACGAGGGCTGGATTTTCACTTTCTGCTAAACTGCATAGTTGATGAGATGATTTACCCCGAATTTCTGACTCAGCACCTCCCACAGCACCCATTGTTGGTGTGATTTATCGCAGCTTTTAAAGTGACAAAACCCGCGTGGCTTTGATCCAATTGATTTCTTTGAATCCGGTGGGATAAATAAGCAGGCAGCAGACCTGAGCAAAGTGTGGGTAGGATAAAATGGGTGTTTTTCTCTTTGTTGTCATTTTTGTTTGTTGTTTGGTTTCCTAGATATCACTATGTGCTCTCTCTGAGCACCTAGAAATGGGGATCAGAGCATGCCAAGTGTGGCTTTGGCTTTGGACTGACTTTATTCTGATATTGAGCTCACTGCTGTGCTCTCATTTTTTCTGCCACAAGAGAGTGAGACCGGGCACAGCACCTGGGGAGCGGTATTTGTTTCCTGATACCTTCCCTGGGGTTTCCCATTTTGGTAGGCTTTCTGATCTCTTTTTGTTTTCTTTTTTTATCCTTTCTTTTTATTTATTTTATTTATTTATTTATTTTATGAGGTTACTTTCACTGATGTGTGGCCCAGATCTGTCCTAGTCTACTCTGAGAGCTGGTAAATGAGTAAAGCTGAGCTTCAGGATTGAAAGTGATGTGAAGGCAATTGTGTCCACACGTTTCAAGAGAATCCAAATTGCTCGTGGCATGGGGTGTGGGTGCGTGTCAATACACACGTATCTGGTGTGGAAACGATAACTTCAAGGGTGTCTCTCTGTTGTGAAAGCCTTTTTAAAGAGAAAACGTTAAGGGTAATTAGAAGTCCTTTTAAAAATGCTTTCCAAGATAGCTGCAAAGCCATAAATGAAAAAGATGACCGCAGCACTAAAAAGCACACATGCAAAGAAAACAAACAAACAAAAAGAGCAAAGACAAGCCAATAACTACAAAACCAACAGCCTGGTTTAGAGAGAAAGAAAAAGCTGGTGTAGAGATATGGAGGAAGGACAAATTGATAGCAAGCAACACAAATTAAAAGCTTGAAACAGATAAAAAGAAAAAAAAAAGATGGAATAATTTCATTGTTCGGGATTGTTAATGTGAGTAAAAAGGAAAATTTAGTGTATGCTAAGAGAAAACGAATCCTAATGATATTGGTTTGTTACTGGCTTGGAACGACAGATTTATTTATAATAATGCAGAAATTTCAATAAACGTCTATATTCTGTAATTGGAAGAGAGCCTGGCTACTTAATCCGCAGCCCTAGCTAATGAAATACTTTTCATTACAGCAGCTGCTAGAAAACATGCTATACATCATCTAATAAAGCCGGGAGTTTTTAAGAGAGACAAGTCTGAGCAATTTTGCATGCGAGGGCTTGGAAGGAGCAGGCTAGGGCTAATTGGGGGTCATTGCTCTTCTGCGAGAGAAGAGGGGAAGTTCTCCAAGTCCGGAAAGAGGCATGCGTCCTTGCCCCAGAGCCGCTAGGCTCACATCTGTTGTAGGTGCAATAACCCCATGGGATGCAGGATCCTACAACAAGGGGCTTGTGGGTAACATCCTGATTATAATTGAATAATAGCACGCTCATTAAAGCTGAGAAATTAATAGCAATCAACTTACGGAAAGGAGATTTTGTCAAGCTAAATGAACACTTTGTATGGCGATACACAACTGGTTGAGAGAGTTTAAGCATTTGTCATTATTTACACACACCGCAAATGAGGCGTTTGTCTAGGTGGCAGTGCAGAAACAGAACAAGTGACTGGTGTTGTGGTTTGTGGAAATAGGGCCAGCACATCTGGGGGAGAGCTCAGGAGCCGTATTCCCTTGGAGGTTGGCTGTGGATCCCTCAGTGCCTTCAAGATGGGAGCTGGTGAATTGGTGACAGTTCCTGGAAGGGAGCGGGGAATGCTGCCAGGTCGGGGTCAGAATGATAGGGTCGGGATGTGGATGGACAAGCAGTAAGGTTGGGACATGGGTGGATGGACACGCAGTAGGGTTGCAACATGGATGGACAAGCAGTAGGGTCGGGACATGATTGGACAAGAAGTAGGGTTGGGGCACTTTAAAAGCTTTGCACAGGTGCCAGAAAAACTGTTTTGGGTTGTGCATTGCTCAGACCTCCTACAAGTAAACTACATTTGACTTTTTCTTTTTTTTTATTTCTTGTTGTGTTTTTTTTCTTCAATCCTCAAAGTGCGTTGGTCGCTGTTAGGATGTTGGTGCCCAGCCCTTTCTCCCTGCTTTCAGGGATGTTGAAGGAGGCAGAAGGAGGCTTGGGCCCATTGCACGAGGAAGGGTTTGACGTGTGTTTGGAGCCCAGTCCTACAAAAACTTCTTAGCAGCTCCCGACAGGTTTGCTGGACTCAGTGGCCTGAGGTCCGGGCCATCTGTGAGCTACCTCAGGCTGCTGAGCAGCTCGGCTCCATCTGGAGCTGCCTTCAGCTCGCTGCTGACATTCTTGCCCCTGTCCCCTCCTCTGAGGACATGGAGAGGGGACATCTCACCCCATGCTGCCCCAGTGAGGGCGTGTGGCCCTTCTGCTCTGCCTCCGTGAACCGCAATGGGTTCCTGGGTTGTCTGCAGGGATCCTGACCTTCTCACCCTACACAAAAAGCAGGGACATTGTCCTCTCAGTGAAAAGTCCTGTTGGGTGCTAACGCGAGGAGGTCCCAGCGACCCTTTCCCAGACTCTACAGCCAGGGAGGGAGGTTTTGGGGTCACATTGTGGGGGTGGTGTGTGGGGAAGGAGTGTGCTCCCCTGGGGGAATCGCTGGGGGGATTTGGGGTGAGGGGGGTGTATATGGGGTGGGATGGGGATATGGGGGGACTGAGGGGGGTAAGGGGTGTGGGATGGGGCTATAGGGTTACGTGACTATATGGGATATAGGGTTAGGGAGGTATATATGGAGTGTGTAGGACAGGGGTAGGTCCTGAACCAGGATTAGGCCCAGGTCCAGGCCCAGGGTCAAGACCAGTACCAGGATCGAGGTCAGAACTAGGACCAGGTCCAGGACCAGGTCTAGGACCAGGTCGATGACCAGAATCAGGTCAAGGACCAAGTCCACAACCAAGATTAGGGTCAGGATCAGGACCAGAACCAAGCTGAGGACCAGGTCCAGAAGCAGGATTACTGTCAGGATCAGGACCAGTAGTAGGGGCAAAACCAGGTCCAAGACCAATATTAGGGTCAGGACCAAGACCAGGTCCAGGGTCAGAACCAGGACTGAGGACCAGGATCAGGACCAGAAACAGGATCAGAAACGAGGTCCAGGTCCAGAAGCAGGATTAGTATCAGGATCAGGACCGGCACCAGGCTAGGACCAAGTCCCAAACCAGGACCAGAACCAGGGGCAGGACCAGAACCAGGGTCAGGATCAGATCCAGGGTCAGGACCAGGTTAAGGGCCAGGTCCAGAACCAAGCTTAGGGTCAGCATCCGGACCAGAACCAGGTTGAAGACCGGGTCCAGAACGAAGCTTAGGGTCAGGATCCGGACCACAACCAGGTCAAGGACCAGGCTCAACACCACCTCGAGGACCTGGCCCAGCACCCCACTGAGTCCCACACCCATCCCCATCCCCGAGGAGGACGAGGAGGGAGAAGGGGCGAGCCTGAGGGGACCGCTGCCGCCCCCGGGCGCCGTGCCCCCCGCCGCCCTCCCTGACGGCCTCTCTCCCTCTCTCTCTCCGCCGCCCCGTCCTTTTCCTTCCCCTCCCTCCAGCAGAGCCTCCGCCTCCGCCTCCCCGCCCGGCGCCTGGTCCTGGCGCGGCTGCCGAACGGTCCCGCTCGACGCCTCCCGGACCAAATGCCTGTGTGACAGGCTCGCCGCCTTCGCCATCTTAGCCCAGCTCAACCCCGACATGGTGAGTACCGGCCCGGGGGGGGGTGTTACGGGGCGGAGGGGGGGGTTAAATAAAAGGATGGGGAGGGTCCGGGAGCGATGGAGCTGGAAGGGAGGGGAGCGGGGACAGACCCCAGCCCTGCCGCGGTCGCTGCCGGCATCGGCATCCCCGGGGCTTTGCGGTCCCCCAGAGATGGTGCGGGTCGGGTGCCGGCGTGGGGAGGGGCGGGCGGGGGGGCGGGGGGGGGGGGACACACGCTGGGGGTGCTGCGGGCGGCGGTGTCGCCTTCCTCCCCTTCCTTCCCTTCCTTTCCTTCCTCTCCATCCTCCCCTTCTTCCCCTTTACTCCTCTTCCTCCCCATCCTCCCCTTCCACCCTTTTACTCCCCTTCATCCCCATCCTCCCCCTTCGTCCCCATCCTCCCCTTCCACCTCTTCCTCTCCGTCCTCCCCTTCTTCCCCTTTACTCCTCTTGCTTCCCTTCCTCTCTTTACTCTTCTTCCTCCCCTTCCACCCTTTCCTCCCCATCCTCCCTTTACTCCTCGCCCTCACGTTCCTCCCCTTTTGCCCCTTTACTCCTTTCTTTCCCTTTATTCCTCTTCCTCCCAGTCCTCCCTTTACTCTCCTTCATCCCCTTTACTCCTTTTCCTCCCATCCACCCCTTCCTCCTCTTTCTCCCCATCCTTCCCTTCTTCCTCTTCCTCCCCTTACTCCCGGTCCTCCCTTTACTCCTCTTCCTCCCCATCCTCCCTTTCCTCCCATTACTTCTCATCCCGCCCTTCCTTCTCTTCCTCCCCTTCCTCCCTTTACTCCCCATCCTCCCTTTACTCCCCTTCCTCCCCACCCTCCTCATCCTCCCCACACCTCCTGCTCTGTTCAAAGCCAACGCTGCTGAATCGTGTGCTTGTTGCTGTTGGGGGGCACAACCCCCACCGAGCATCTTCCTCCCGTGGTCCCCCCCCACTCCATCTTCCCACGTGTCACATTTAAGGGAATCACCCCTCTACATCTCACCACATCCCTTTCCCAAATTTGGGGTCCTTCTCTTTTTTTTTTTTTTTTTTTTTTTTGGGTGGTGGTCCTGCAGCAGGAATACGGGGGGGTTGCAGGTGCTGGGTGTGTGTGTGTGTGTTCGGGGGGGGTCCGTGAAGTTTCACCCGCTGCCGGCACAGCGCAGCTGGTGCCGCTTCTATGCCGGAGCCTCTGGAGGAGCGTGAGAGTCCTCGAAATGCTCGTGGGGCGCCGGCACCCCAAATCAGCTGCCAGGGCACCCAGGGCGATGCCAGGGTGGCTGCCCTCTGCTACCTTGCACTTTGAGTATTTATTTATTTATTTATTTTAAGTAGTTCGTCCCCTTTTTGGACACTTTCCCGGGTTCGTGGAGCGAGGCTCCCCCCCCCCTCCCCTCCCTCCCCTCCACCTCCCTCTTCTCCATCTGCCTGGGTGCTGGGACTTACGGGGCCCTTGCAATTATTTTACTAATTATGCCTTGCTTGTTAAACGCCGGGCTTAATTCGGCGAAAGGGGAGGGGAGAGGAAGAAAGGCAGGGTGATGGTGGTAAAGGGGAGGGGAGGGGGGGGATCACATTTTCCAAGATGAAGGTTCGGTTTATTATTAGAAACACTAATGTATTTGGTCCACTAGTTACCATGGAAACAACATCTGCACTGAAGTGGTTTTAAAGACACAGTGTTGGTTGTGTTTGCCCGGGCCCCGTGCAGGCCCAGCCACTCCAACCGGGGCTCCAAAGCTGCTCTCGGGGTCCTCTTGTGCGAGGCACTGAGCTTTGGATTGCAGCAGAGATGCTCTGGTCGAAGGTAGGAGCAGCTCATCCCTGCGTGGAAGGGACCTGGAAAGAGTTGGTTGCATCGGTGCTGGTGTCCCCGCAGCCTTTTTCTGCTTTGGGTAGCTTTTTTGGTGTCTTCTGGCTGTGTGAAACCAAGTGCAGAAGGGAGGTGATGTGTTGGGTTGGTGCTTTCCAGGAATGGTCCCCAAATTTTCTTGGGGCAGCCAAGCTGAGCCCAGGGCAGCCAGCTGGGACCCTCTTCCCACAGCTCCTAGCTCTGTGTTATCACAGCAGCAAGGCTTCAGCCTTCATCCCAATCTTCCAGCACCCCAGCTGCTGGCTCTGCACCTTGTGATGCCCACAGGGATGATGGATGGAGGAACCTCATCCCACGCAGTGAGGGCTCCGTGCTTTCATTGCAAACGACCCGGTCCCACCAACGTTCAGGGAGAGTTTGGGTCCTAACTGAATCATAATTTCTTCTGTAGGAATACTTTTAAGGCAGGGCCAGCCCAGGTGTGCAGCTGAGTTTCTGGGGAAGTTTTTTTCTGGGGATCTTTCTCCTGGAGTTGAGCAGAGGACCAGGCAGTGTGGGAAAGGAGGCTGTGGCTTGGCTAAAGGAGGAATTTCTCCAACAGAGGACTAACTTTATGCTCTCACAAGGTGCTTGCTGCTTATTAACCAAGCAGCTAGGAAAGGGAAAAGGTTAATTTGATGTAGCTAAATACTACTACTCCCTCAGCTCTCGGTGTTTAGGTATCACAAGGTTGATGTAAGCTCTTTGCCATCTGTACGAGTATTTTTGCATCTGAGAGTGGACTTGGCTGCAGGAGGATGTTGCTTCCTTCCCCCATTCATGTTTTATTGCATCTGCAGCTAACATCTCTGCGGGTCCTATGGGGTTTAGGCCTTAAATTGCTTCTTCCATCCTCTTTCCAACTCCTCTAGTTGCTGGTTGGGTTGCAGTCTCACAACTCATTATTCCCAGCCTGGAGTCAACTCAGGAGCACCAGAGTGAGTCCTTTGGCCATGCTGGGGGGAAAGCTGGGACCTGGCTACCTCCTGATCCCTCCGAAGGGTTTGTTGGTGCTCTGGAGGATTGCTCACCCATGTCCTCATGGTACCACCCTCGTTTTTTTTAACCAAGTGTCTTTGTGATCAAGCCCGTGCTGCTTGCCTTTCCCAGAGGTGGCATCTCGTCAGCGGTGGCGTCTGAGGTGCTGACATTTATAGTGCAGTTTTTCATGTGCCTTGGGAACTCTCTGGACAAGAAGCTCCGTCCTCCTGTGTCATGAAGATTATTTATTGCGATAAATCTCCCTTCTGGAGTCTTTGGCCCTGGCAGGTTGAAATATTTGTAACCCTGGTACGGGCACAGCTTTTATTTTTGCAGTGAGGATGGAATTGTGAAGGTCTGGGGGGACAAGTGTTGCTGCCCAGGTGGGTGATTTGGTCTTTCCTAGGACAGGGTTTCCCTGAGTGTTGCTTTTGAGGCAGGGAAAGGAAGAAGTTTTCCTTGATTTCAGTGGAGCTGTGGGCTGGGAGTGCTGGTTTCAGAGTCAGTTTTGGAAACAGACATCCTTAAACTGAGATGGAGCTGTTCAGACCCAGCCCAGAAGCTAGAGTTTGAGTTCAACTCCTCCTCTGGGTCTGATTTCTGATGGTCCCTGCTACTTGCAGCAGCCAGAGGCTGCCTCTGGCACTGCTTTGGCTGGATTGCTGTCATTAAACAACAAACCTCTTCAGTTGAGGAACACGGATGGGATTTGGGGTCTGTCTTTTCATTTTGGTTTTACCCCATACCCAGCTTGGTAGGGGAATGGTAGGGCCAAAAAGAAATGACACAGTCCTGCATTCAAACTTTACAAACTATGGTCAGTCGGATTAAGAGTCTTGTGGTGGTGTTTTTCAATATTTCCTGGCTTTCCTGGCAATTTGTTGGTGATGGGAAGGGAAGAGAGCAGGAGCCTGAGGATTTGTAGGGCAGCTTTTCTCTCTTTGGCTGTCTTCTCTGAGTTTGACTCGTGTTGTTTGACTCATGTTGTCTCTTCTGCCTACCAGCTCACGATCTGTAAAGTCAAGTAAGTTTTAAAGCTTGGCTCCTAGAGTAGTAGGAGGGCACAAATACAGCTCTCTGCCCTCTCCTCCCCTCCTTTCTCCCAGCCTGGTCTGCAGAGGCTGGTCAGCTCTGCCCTCATTTCTAGGGCTAGCAAAGGTGGAAAGGTGCTGGTGGCAAAAACTTGCATGGCTGCTGACTTTGGTGTGTCCATGTTGAATTATTGGAGAAAAATTTATTTACCAACATGCAAACAATTAGCTGGAAGGTCCGAGCAGCACCCTTGGGGTTTTGTGGGGTGTGTTGGAGCAGGCTGGATGACAGAGCTGACTTGGAGGTATGCTGGCAAGGTGGGAAAGTGTAAGGGGTGAGATCCCATCCCAGGTTGCTGCAGTTCAAAAAGGAGAGGCTTTGTTCCCTGTTAGCTCCAGTTGGCATGAAGGCAAGACACCTTTCAGGGTACATACACGAGGGGACAACAAGTCCCGAGCTCCTCTCTCAATTCGCAATATTTAGTTTTGTTTGTTTGTTTTTTATTTATTTACTGAAAGCATCCCAATGCTGTCTGTGCAGCAGAGGACAAAAAAATCCTTTTTACCCTGGGGAAATAACAATGCATGGCGAGGAGCCTCTCAGTGCACATCTCAGCCAGGTCAGGATGGCTGCTCAGAATGGGCTGACAGCACTTCTGATGGAAAATTAGGGCAGCGTTTCCCTTAGCTAAGGCCGGAGCACTTTATTTAGAGATTAGTATTGTAATATGAATATTTTACTTTTGTTTAGCACCTGAGATTTGGAGTTTGGATAGGAATGAAACCTTCTGTGTGCCTTGAGGACAGCCAGTGCTCAACTTCCCATTTTTTTTCCAGGGTTGTAATGAATAAATGCTGCTTCTCGTGTGATGTTAATGCTTTGATTTAAAAGTTGGACTTTTCTCTCAAAGGGAAGTTCTTGCTTTTGCTAGGCTTGAATCCTTAAGGTGCCGAACCGCTGCCAGTTTGCACAGGGGGTGAAGGGTTTGTTCGGGTGTGCTGGCTGAGCCACGGGGCTGGGAGCTGTTCCCGTGCCTGCAGATGAGATGATGACCTTGGGCTAATCACTTCACTGCTTTCCGCTTCCTCTCCCCCAGCTGCAGCACGCTGGCAGGTGCCGTCCCAGCCTCGGTGCCCTCAGCCCATGG